TACACACACACACACACACACACACATATATATATATATATGTGGTGCTTTATTTAACAGAATACCTGTGGTGGAAATAAAGCACACTTGATGTAAAATTAATTGTTTTATTTTTATTGACATGACCGATTGCTATTCTGTGCACTTCATTAAACTGATTGTGATGACTTTTCATTTGTTTTTATATATGTTGCCTCTGTAGTCCGTTTTTTCTTGCCAGAGATAGGAGCTCAGAGAGATGTGTGCACGCTTCACAGCTGCTCTCTTCCCTGACATCCATGGTCTATTGAAGAATGTACAGGGCTATTTCGAATACCCTGTAGCTCTCCTGCATATCCCTGTGAAGTCTCTAGTGAAGCCAGTACTCTGAGTCTCGCATGTGGTGGTGTATTTTACATTTTGGATACTTTTTTCTTCTTTACCTATTTTTTTAATAAAGCAATGAATGGTAACATCTGAGTGAGTGTCAAAGGGATATATCATGCATTCAGAAGAAAAAATGGAAAATTAATAAAGGATTACAAATACACATTTTACAGGAATTGCATTAAATGTCATGAAACTACATGAGGACTTCAAAATGAAAGTTAAATATCAGATTATGATAATACTAAAACTAAAGTAGTAGCGGTATATTTTAAAAATATAGGGTTCAAAACTGAGCAAGTGCAGATAGATTCTGAAGAGAAATATATATGTCAGTTCAGTTCACTATACTAGTGGTTAATGTGTGCATAACTAAAAAGCATAATTCTATTAATTATTTTAAAAGGTATCCAGATTTGAAGCCAAGAAAATCTTCAGTGAAGATGTAAAAGAGACCAGGGGGAGTAAAATTAGAAGTGAGAGGCGCTTTAGCAGCATAATATACCAAAAGTGTTTTAAAGAGTTCTTGAATACTTTAAAAAGATATTTGGATATTTATAAATCAAGAGAAAATAGTTATCTTTTTCTTACCAGAAGTGGATAAAATGGTAAATAGAGTGCATGAGAGGTTAATGTGCATTTTTAATAACATTTGTTTAATGTTCTGAATTATAAAAAAAGAAATCTGTCAAATAAAATTGAGTAAGAACATCAAAGAAAAAATACTTCGTAGTCTTTATTTTAAAAAGCCTAAGAAACTAAATTGGTTTATAAATTACACTTTATAAAATAGACATTTTGAATTTCAGGAAGTAATTAGAATAATCCATGATTGGTAGTATGCTATTAATAAATACTCAGAAGTGTTTGAAATGATAAATACTCCACTGATTAAGGAAGGAGGCATTCAAATAATTAGTTAGAAATTCCCCCATCCCTAGCTTGGAAAAGCAAGGATTATGGGATCAACATTACTAGGCCTGCCCTTTGTCTCCCAATTTCATTGCTGATTTTACCTATGATAGTGTGCTCTTTATCTTCTCTTTCCAAGCTGTATTTTCAGCCGTAATGACCAAGTGATTCTAGGAGCAACCAACAATCACGCCCCCAGTGGCTGTTGCCAACAAGAATAATGGGTGAAGATGTGGTTGAGAACGTGTGACTGGCAAGACTGCCACTAGCCATACACGTAACGAACCATATCTTTCTGAGAAATTAGAGATTTGTTTCAAATTTTCCGTTTCCTTTTTAAGTTCTCTCCTTTTGGTTCTTTGATCTAATCGTTATTTAGCTTTGTCATAGATCAAAACTAGAATGGGAACTAAAAAGAAAGTCCAGCACTGTAAAACAAGTAGGCAATCTGCAGACCACAGACAGCATATCTCTGAACAGCTTTTTAATAACCATCTTCTGTGAAATCATGCTGTCTCAACAACATGTTGAATTTGTTGCTAATACTCAGTAGTAAATAAATATAAAAGGTGATTAATACAAATTGAAACACAAAATCTTACTCCCAAGTACCACCACCTGAAGTCTGGTTGCTCTCCTGCTGCAGCTAAAGCCTCCCCACCCACCCCCACAAAAAAAATTCCTCTGTCCAGAAAAAGTAGCCCTAGCTACCTGAAGCTTGTAAAATATTGCTCATGTGATAGCGGCATTCTTGGTTGATTGATTGATTACCCAGCTTAATCCTAGTTCACTGTCTTACGAATTTCTTGGAATAGAGGTAGCTCAGGTTTGCTGTACATACAGTGGAACCTCGGGTTACGAATTTAATTCATTCCGTGACTCTGGCCGCAACCCGAATTGGTCGCAACCCGAAGAAAATTTCCCCATAAAGTTCAATGTAATTACCGTTAATCCGTTCTGGCGCGGAGGACAGGGAGGCGGCTATTGCTTGGAGGAAGAGTCCCCCTCCCTACGACCACATGTCAGGGACGGAAAATGGTCACGGACCACGTCAGGAGGAAAAATGGCCGTGAACCACGTGTCGGGCGGAAAATGGCCGCAGACCACGTGTCGGGGCAGAAAATGGCCACGGACCACGTGTCGGGCGGAAAATGGCCGCAGACCACGTGTCGGGGCAGAAAATGG